AATGTTACCATTCATATGAACTAGAAACTTTGGCCGTGGTGTGTGCTTTGCGGCATTTTCGAGTTTACCTGCTTGGAACAAAATTTCGAGTTGTAACAGATTGTAGTTCTTTGCGAACAGCGTTTGCGAAGAAGGATTTGATACCGCGAGTGGCAAGATGGTGGCTCGAAGTACAAGAATATAATTTCGAAATATCATACAGGCCTGGGGTGAAAATGACACATGTTGATACACTGAGTAGGCAGCCTTTAGAGATACTTGAGATTAATCAGGCTAATTTAACAGAAGGAGACTGGATATTGGCTGCACAGATGCAGGACGAACAGATTGTTCGAATTCGAACCATACTAGGTAATGAAGAGAGAAATAGTGAGGCGAAAAGATATGGTGCTGACTATGCTGTGAAGAATGAACGAGTGTACAGAAAATTACAGAATGGCAAAACAGCATGGGTGGTGCCTAGAAACGTAAGATGGCAAGTTTGCAGACTATGCCATGATCAGGCGGGTCACTCGGGAATTGAGAACACGTTGAAGAGAATGCAGAAGCATTATTGGTTTGCAGGAATGCGTCGATTCGTGACGAAATATGTAAGAGCGTGTTTAAACTGTGCTTACTACAAGCGGGTTGCAGGGAAGAAGCAAGGGAAATTGCATCCTATAGAGAAAGTTTCACACGGTTCACGTAGACCATTTGGGGCCTTTCGAGACGAGTTCTCAAGGGAACAAGTTCTTGTTGGTGATTGTCGACGCCTTTACCAAATTCGTCATTATTGAAGCAGTGAAGTCCCAGAAGAGTCAACCAGTCGTGCGGGTGTTTCAGCAACTCATGTGCTTGTTCGGTGTTCCGACACGTATAATCAGTGATCGGGGTAGTGCTTTTACTTCGCACTCGTTTCAGCTGTTCTGCGAGACGTATAATATTAAACATGTATTAAACGCGGTTGCGACCCCGAGGGCCAACGGGCAGTGTGAACGATACAACAGGACCATACTTGCTGAGCTGGCTACTCTTGGTGCTGATTCTAACAGCACTGAATGGGACACACATGTGAAGGAAGTTCAAAGTGCCATGAACACCTGCTTTAATAAAGGTATCAATACGACACCTTCAGAAGCACTGATGGGCTATCATCCGCGACCAGCAGCACAAGCACAGTTGTTGGCAGACATCGAGGTAGATCTGGACCGCCTCAACCTTACCGAGCTGCGGGCCGACATGGAAAGACACATCTCCGCCGACCAGGCTCGACAAAAAAAATACTACGACAAATCCCGAAAAGAAGCCGTCAAATACAGCAAGGATGACTTGGTATTGGTGCAGATTACTAGTGTGTCGCCTACTGGTTCGAGCAAGAAACTACTACCCAAGTTTAGAGGGCCATTCCGAGTAGTATCTGCTTTGTTCAACGATCGTTATGTGGTAGAAGATCTACGTGAAGGACGTTACAAGGCAAGAAGCGTAGCAGCGGTTGAGAAGTTGCGACCCTGGATGTCAGCTCAAGTTTAATCTGCACATACAAATGAGTGGTCATGAGCCACACGGACGATTTGTCCAGTTGATGATGAAAAGGTAGAGTGGTTGTAGGCCACACGGACTATTGTCCAGTTGGTAGATGTTGGAAGTGGTTGTAAGCCACACGGACACTATGTCCAGGTAATTGCTAGATGATGAGGTGGTGGATACCACACGGACAGGGTTGTCCAGCTAACGAGACGTTGTTGTTAAAGGTGGTTGTGCCACACGGGCTAGTGTTGCCCAGTTTTTCAGAATTGACAGGAAATGCCCGGTTTGCCGTGGAGGTTGCGGTCTGCGGACAGCCCGCTTGATAGGATGGCCGAGTGTACGAAAATCGAGAAGTCGAGTGTTAATGCTGAACTTTTATTATGTCTCGTGTTTATTATGTTGAAATTGCGAATAGGAATCATATAACCATATATAGAATTGTATGAGTCAGGGTTTTGCTCTCGGGAAGCAGGGCAGGAGTGAGAAGTCAGTCGATACCGATCGTCCGTTATTGACGGTGGTCAATAAATATCCTTTATATTTTGTCTATTATTTTGGAGTTTTCTTACACTTGTTATGTTAACAAACTAAAATTCTCATTGAAGAAATAAAATGTTCTAATAGTAATTTACGATATAAGTAACGTTATTAGCGTTTTTACATTACGAGGGAATATGGCGGTAGCCTCCAGTTCTTTAAATTTTCCGAGTAATGTGAAACCTGATAACGTTACGTGCAACATAACACGTTTTATATTATCCCAAAATAACACCGTTATGTTAAAAAACTAGTCGTAGAAAAATTTTACCTTCCTGGGTCGATTCTGGGTATGCCGGTATCCAAGCATTTATTTTTGTTTACATTTTTGATTAAAACAAAATTTCGAACACATTTTGAATTTCTACCTTTAGAATGACTGAAAACGTAAGGAAAGAAGCCGAAGCAGCAAAACAGAAACTAATTCTTATGAATATGAAGTCTGCGGACTGATACCAAAATGAAATGAAGTAACGATGAACTAATTTTGGCTTATATTTCCGAATTGGTAAGACGAGGAGTTTTTATTTTGTCGCTACACTTTGAGATAAGTGGAACCTCTACAGTGTTAAGTAAATAGAATAATAGCAATGTAAATTAATATGAACTTTATCTTTCACAATAACAGATGTAACAAGAATTAAAGTCGCTCCCACTGGAAACCAATTGCATCTTCTGCACTAAAATACTCCTTAAATTCATCTCGAATAGCAGAAATATTTCTACTGAAGGAGTTTGCGGAAGCTTTTTGCAATTCCCCAAGAAGCCAAGCATAAATGCCAAAACAAATTTCTACGCATCTCCTGGCACGACTGAGTCTATAGTTAAAAACTCACTTTTCTATTGTTAAGTTTCTCCCTGGATATGGTATTAATGTATATTTTATGAGAGGAAAAGCTTCATCAGCAACAAGGACGTAAGGCAGGCGTGATCTTTCATCTGAAATGATAGCAGAACCTGGTACTTGCTTATCTTCTTCATTCAGTTTTTGACCCAATATTTGCTATAGTAAAGCAATAGTCAACATCACAAATTGCCATTAACACAATAGAAAAACTTACTCTTTAATTATAATATTCTGAACCAGTTGTACGTCATTCTCTATCTATGTATTTTTATATTCAATGTCTTTGCTTTTTTCGGAGTAGCCACCCTCACTTTCTATTATACAGAATGGGTAGCGCGTAGCTCAAAGGCGAGAAGCAGTGCTGAAGGTTGTACTCAATACCTACGTACTTGTTCGAAGTGCCTTTTGGTTTGACAGAGGCTGGGAGTCTGGCACTGGTTTCAAGTCTCACTGATGCGTGCCGTTTTTTGGTATACCCGGATTAGGTTGAACTCTACAGGATAAAGCGAGAGTTCGTGATAATGGTCTTTCTTTTGGGGGACACGTGTAGACCCAATGATGATGGATAACTCCTTGATTCTTCATCAGGATGTTAAAAAAGTGATTTCCAACTTTTCTAACCTGTTGTTGAATGATGCAAAGCTACCAGTGAGTGATCTATGTGGGGATTCATACGTTGCGTTCTTTTGTGTAATTTTATGTGATTTAGTTGTATTCCTATAATATTATTTTAAATATTTTAATGTAGTGCAACAAACACCGTTATCAACTTAAAAATCTTGAAAAATTCAACGGCGATGAATTAGTTCCAACACGTGTAATCCTACATTACTTATTCATTATGTTTAGGGGTTGTAATCAGTTATTAGGCAGCAGGTGTACTGTACATGCAATAAAATTTAAAATAAAAATTTGTCGCATTTTTTCATTTCTCAAATATCGTCGCTTTCACAAAAACGAATGAAAAAAATCATTGATTTGAATTTGGTGCTTGCTATCTTGTCATTTGTGCCTCGTGATAAAGGAGTGTTTAAAGTCTAACTTCAATTAGTTTAATTGAAATATAGTTTTGTTTTTGAATTGTAAGTATGATGATATTACTCGTATTTTTCGTTCGTATTTTTTTGTTATTTTCTGTGAGTTCGTCGCCTTTTTTAATGTATTCTTTTAATGATTAGCATTTTTTGAACTTAAAAAAAATGTGTACCTGCTTCGAGCTTTTTAAACAACTTGTAGTTCTATCAAAAATTATATTCGGGGTTCGGGGTAATTCGGGAATGAACTCTGCACGCTGCTGTAAACATGCATGCCTTTTCGTACCTGAGGAACAGATTTTTTTTGTTTTTCTAACAAAAGTAAACTGTTAAAAAAAAAAAATGTTTAAATGTTTTCATTGGAAATGTGGCTGGAACAGTCTGTTTTATTAGTGACAGCTAGTCCGTAGTTGGAAACTGCACATTAAAAGTATAATTTTAACAGTTTCAAATATTTTAGTAACAGACTTAACCTCTAAAATGACAATTAGGCAGGGGCGTATCTGCCCTTTCATCTGGAAATCGGGAATGTTCTAGAGGCGCCCAAATTTTATACTCCTATAATTTTAAATTAAATAAAATTTGTATAAAGTTATTCATTCGGCCATTCAGCGGTGCATATTTCTACGCATCTGTACTTTTGTGGGAAACTGTTTTGTGTTAGTAGAACCATGGCCGACTAGTATAAAGATTATGGCCTGTCCAAGAGGTACGATACGTGCTGCCATCTATTAATAATTACACTTAATAATTTAGCCAAATTTTAATTTGACTTGACATTATGGGACTTCAAAACGTGTAATGGTGGTTTGTTTCGGTATGAATGCCTTTGTGCCTTTCAAAAAGTGTTAATAATTCTTTTGTCGCTTTTGAATTATTAATAGATGGCAGCACGTATGGTACCTTTGGCATTCCTTTGGACAGGCCATAATCTTTATACTAGTCGGCCATGGTAGAACAAAGGTTTCAATATAAAAATTTCTAGAAGTTTTGTTTTATTTTGTGCTTAGGTTAATAGTTTTAATTATAAGAATAATTTTTGACTTCATGCATGAAATAATTGTTATATTTTTCAGGGGTTTCGGAAAACAAGGATTCCAGTGCCAAGGTAATATACATTACTTTATACTTGTCCAAAAGGTATAAGGTTATATGACCATCATAAAAGTAGTTGACCGCAAATAAATACCCCCATTGTGTGGTTCGCGCTAAGCTTACCGGTTGGCAATAAATCGTTTTCTAAACATTTCTTGCTCACATTTAACAGGGCCGGCTTCCAAAGCGAGTGGTTATTTTGGAACCCTCAGCGGCTGCAGGTAGGAAAGAAATAGTGGAGTGGTGGATTTTCATATTTAGTGAAAGCAGCCCCTGAACGAAACCACAACAGCCGGTCGAGCTGCAGGGGAAACATTATTTACGACCCTAAAACCTTTTCTATTGTAAACAACTTAACTTAGACACAATGGGATGATTTTATGATAGCCATATAACCATATAGCTCTTGGTCCACTATACTTCATCTGAGCATGTATTAGTTTTCGATTTATAAATATGTAAAAGGAATATGTAAAAAAATACTATTCACTTGTTACTCACATTTTTTCTAACAGTGTATACATTTTTCGTAATAATAAGTGGTGTAGAAGTGACACACAGTTTTCATTTTTTTGTCGTTTCCTACCAATCCTTGCTTCTCTTTGCATGTATATATTTTGAATATACAGTGGAATCCGACTATAACGGTCCGATGATTGGACTGCGACTGATGTGAAAATAACGTTATAGCCGAACTGTCGTAATCACAGACCTTTTTTTTCTACTTTTCTGGACACTTTCGTAGTGTAAAAAGTAACATCTCCAGTTGTATTTAACTAATTGTAAAAAAAGAAAGTAACTATAATGCCAAATATTCGTATTTTGTTTTCAGAATTGAACCACTTATTGGAATGTTAAAGCATCTTTGCTGTTTAAATCACATCAGTAACGCTGAATTCAGTTGTGGACGGTTCGTTTTACTTAGGCGCTTTACTTGCCACCGTTTTGTTATACTTATAAGCGTCTTTTTTCTTGATTTTGTTTTTTTTTTGCAAATGGTTTGAACCGTTGAATTTACTGACAATTTTTGTTCGATACTTAGAATTTGTCTGTTGTTACGAGTTTCAGCCATCGCGAAAGAAAATAGAAAATAAAATAAAATGAAGAAATGAGTTTTTTTCTGTGTATGTGTGGTTCTCGGCACGGAATACTGGGGGCTAGTAATAAATTGCTTACCACCCTAAAACCCCCCCATCTTATGCTCAGATACCAGAACAGGGTCCCCATTTCTGAATAGTCACAAATGTGTTATACCACTGCAGTTCGGTTGAGCTATTGATTCGCTTAGGAGGTCGTCGACGTCTCCCCCTCCCCGCTTCTAGCCCATAATCTTACGGTCCTCCTCCGATGATTGGCCCAAGGATCTGAAACAGAAAATGTGCGCTATGCGCTGGCATTAGCTATACTTACAATTGCGGCCTTCCAAAACTACACGATAATTTTCTCTATTGTAAAGGTATGTTCAAAACATAGGCGCTCGAATAATAAAGTTTGTCAAATTTGACATTTTGTTTATTCAAAAATGCTACGCCACTGGTAATAACCAGACTTAGATACATTAATGGAATGTTGGTCTCCCGAAGAATCTAGTTGTTCCTGGAACCACTAAAAGCTTCTCGGAGAATTTTTGTCTGGAGGATTTCCAAACAATGAAAGCTCGTAACTCCAGGCTACTGAGACAGAAGACATGGTGGAGCGAATGATTTTTCGATAGAGAAGAAGTTTGTTCTTAATCGACATGTTGCTGTGTCTGCCGATTAGTGATGCCAGGATGCCTTTGATTCCGTTCGTCTTGGCTAGAATGTAGTCAGCCTAAGGAATAATGCTGAACCTTCGGTCAGTGAAGAGACCTAGATATTTTGTTTTGTCCTGCCAGGGAATGATCTGGCCGAACATCGAGACGTGCTCTATCGGGCCTTGACGACTTTTCGTGATGCACAGCGCAGAGCTTTTAGCGGGATTGACTGTGATGAGCCAACGTCTGCACCACTCCTCCAGCGCGTTAGTGGCTACCTGTAAGTAGGTGGTCACATTGTACGCCGATTTGGAGTGCACAAGGATAGCGGTGTCGTCTGCATAGATCAGGAAACAAGTTCGAGGGAGTTTGGGAATATCTGCTGTGAAGATCGCATACACAAGGGAAGAGAGCGCTGATTCCTGAGGAATTCCATCAATAGAACATCCAATTATTGGATGTTCTATTGATAGAGTGTGGCCTATTTGGGCAAGAAACATGCGGGCGTCCAGAAATTACTCGATGAGTTGTACCATCGCTAACAGGTCTGCAAGGTGGAGCTTGTAAACAAGTCCCTCCATGTCGAAGGCTTTGGCCACATCGAGAAACACTGCGCCGACGAATTGTTTCAATTCATTTGATTTTGCTGCGGATTCTACGACCCGAAGAAGTTGGTCGGAGGTGGATTGGTGGGGTTGAAAGCCGAACTTCTCGACAGGAAGGATGCTTAGTTCATTCACGATCTCGGCAAGTCATTTCTGTATGACCCTTTCAGCGATCTTCCCCACCGACGATAGAATGATGGGGCGATAATTTTGGTGAAAGGATTGATTTTTTCTGGGTTTCGGAATGAAGATGACGTTGGCCTGTCCATCTACTTGGAGAGACACGAAATTTGAACATAGCATTGATAATACCTACCAAGGCCTCTCGGAGAGGTTTTCAGTGCTTTTTTCGGGATCTAATCGGGACCTGCGGCTTTCCTCGGCTTAAGACTTTGAATGATGTCTCGGACTTCGTAGGAATTGGTTTAGATGATGAGTTCGTTATCGTCGGGTTCTTCCCCACTAAGATCTTCGACGAGGCCCATGTGTTGGTCGTTTGCATCAGGATCAATGTTTATCAGGCACTGAATCTCCAGATTGTGAGCAAAGACGGCGGCTTTGTCTGCTTCGGTGAAGACGATGCCAATTTTTCTCTCTTCTTTTCCCTGATGAGGTTCACGATACGCTGCGGTAACACGGGCCGTTTGAATGGAGGCTCAGGACCTTGAATTGAGGTTGCGTCGATGGAGGCTCGGATACGGTTCTCGTGGTCCAGAGTTGCTTCTTCGATTTGCTCGGAACTCTGAAAATTGGTGTCAAACTCAGAAAAGTTACCTTTGATATGTTTGGCGCATTTCGTCCAGTCCGTGCTTGTGATTGTGTACGATCGTTGGTTTCGTTTCCAGTACACATTGTCGCCGGAAGATGGTTGGAGTGGAGTTCGACGACGGTTACATACATTTCGTGCCGGAGATTCTTGACGAGGACGTCAGCTGGTGGATCCCGTCAATTTCGGGGATAGTGGGTTGGCTCCTCTGAAGATGATGCCCACACGGAGTCGCCTTCCGTTCGCGTTGTTCAACGTGCTGTGCCAGTCCTTGTGCTTGGCGTGGAAATCGCCAGCTAGTATGAGGGGTTATTCGACCTTGGTGAGCTCTGCGATGTCGACATTCTAAAGGGTGTCGGTGGTTTTGTAATATGCAATTGGGCGCAGGAGCCCTCTGGCAGCCACAATAGTCCCCGCTGTGGCTTCCAATTATCGGAAATTGAAACATAAGAAGCAGAGTGTTTGGTCTTGTTTCTTTCGTAGATGGCGGTTCGTTTGGTGCAGCATGAATCCCGGTTGCGGTTGAAGCCAGGTTTCTTAGATGAGTTTGTGGGCGTTTATGAACCCTTCGAGGGCATAACGCCCACGCTGGAGGCTACAAGTGTTCCAGAAGACGATCTGAAAGGAATTTAAAAGTAATTGATTAGTACCTATTTAATTTAGAAGGAGGGGAAGGAACGCTATCAGCCATGGATTTGTGGTCCTTGGCGCCAGCGATGGCGTGAAGGAGTTGGTTCTGCTGTACATTAAGGCGGCCTGTGGGCGAGCCCTGAAGGAGACTTTTTTAGCAGAGGTGGTGGGGGCTGCGAGGGACCTCTCGGGGCGCAGCGTTGGGGGCAATGCCGGGGGCCGCTTGGAAGGCGGCGTTGGGGGCAATGCCGGGGGCCGCTTGGAAGGCGGCGTTGGAGGACTTAGTTGCTTTTTTGAGCAACTTAAGGCATCCCTTGTAGTTGGCCGTGTGAGACCCACCATAGTTTGCACATTTTGCAAGCTGTGAGCGCTGTTTGTCGCACTCGCTGGTCTGGTGAGAGGCACCCGATTTGACGCAGCGCTGCTGCTGCTCTGCAGTTGCGCCGAGAATGCTGGAAGCGCGGGCACTGCTAAGCTTCTTTGGATTTGTACAGCGTCTATACCTTGACGGAGAGGCCGCAGAAAGTTCTGAGCTCGAAGATGGTGGCCTGTGGAGGATGGTGATCTTGGTGGTTCAACCGGCTGACTTGGATTAGTTAGAAATCCAGATACTCCAGGTTTTCCAGCACGTCCTGGCTTTCGACGCTGACGGTAATACCTTAGTTTTCTCCTTCGGGAGGGTGAAGGTATGGTATAGTGCCTTCAGTCGATCTAGGATACGAGTGAGCCCCCTGAAGTCGTTGATGTCGACGGGTTGAATGCGGACTCCTTCCGCCGAACTTTTCGCTTTGGAGAAACAAATCATTTTTTCGTTCATCTGAAACGAGACTTCCGGCCACCTCTTGCTATCGGTGACGGTGCCTTGGAATTTTGAAGAGGCGAGAATCTCGCCAAAAAGATGGTGAGGGTGGTTTTTGGCTTTTTGGGGGGACTCTGGGTGTCCTGGGGAAGTAATATATGTCGCTAAGGACGTTATTTGCTGATAATTGCTGCCGGCCATTATGTACTTGTTCCCCTTCTTCGGTCACTGGGAAAGATCCCGCTATATCCACTGCAATTCTTTCAAAAGCCGAACTGACGATATAATATTGTTGCATCGTCCCTCTCGCCTTAGTCCTCGGTCCCAGTTGTTAGTTCATTCGTTCGCTTCTGATCACATGGTTGTAAACATATAGTCGTGGACATTGTTACGTGGCTCTTGACCGCGACTACACTCCACCGGAAAGGCCGTAGGTGATGGTACTAATAAAATTCGAGTCGACAATTACATTTATTATGAACGGAGGAGACGTGTGGGGGGAAGGAAGGGGGGATGAATGATGAATTACCACTCAACTATATCCATGATCTAATTACTTCGCCTTTCGCGTGTCCCTACCGCAACAATGCCGTTCCTGGTGGCGGCGGAGATGCCGACCGGGAATATCCTTAACCCAAAATAATAAAATAATACACTATCTAATTGCACCGGCCAGTGCTTAGCGTGTCTTTATCTAATTAACTTCTACGTAACGCCTCTCTTTCTTTCCGGATCCCATAACCTTCCATGAAGCAGTCCAACGCGATCTCTCAGAAATGGCGGCGGCACGGCGGCTATCGACCTTCGACCAAACTCCAAACGAACCTCTACGCCAAGAGCGCAAAAAAGACATTAAAAACCAAAGATGACGAAACGAAGAGAGAGAAAAGAGCGAAAACGGAGAAAGAAGAAACGAAAAAAATAAAAAGGCCTGAAAGAAGATTGCGTAAATTCCAATCCAGAACCCGATCGAGTTTTCGAGCTCAAAAAGTCCGAATTGCACACATTTTTCTGTAGGCGAATGTTCCGAATTGCGCCCGCTACCTGGAAATATTATCACACCTACCCCTTTTCATTAAAGAAAACCAAATTTTTATATAGACAAATTTCTTTAATACCTTGGTTTTGCCAAGAATTGATTTCATCTCAGTTTCTATTGCGGTTTTAATATTGTTAACGTATTGGTCTGTTTTTTTTTGACATGTACCTAGCGAAAGAAATTCCAACCTCAGCTACCTTTAAAGAAACATTGGTAAAAGGTTTCGGCGTAAAATTTTTTGAAAGAGAACACTGCGAAATATTTGAAAACTACTGGGTTTTACTTACAAAAAAAAATTATTAAAAGATGTGCGATTATGAAATGGATCGTAATTAAGTGTGCATTATTTTTAATACTTTGTGCATTAAATTTTATACTATGCGCAATAATATTTGTGCATTAAATTTACTATCTTGCGCCATAAGTTTTTGCATTTTGTGCATTATATTAAGTGCAAATTGGAATAATAAAATTATTGTTTTGGGCAATGATTTTCTGTACTGCGTGCATTATTGAAACTGTATAGAAAATAACAAACAAAAATAGACCTGCTGCATAAAATGTGTTTTATTCTATTTTAGAACCATAATCTTATTTATAAGCACCCAAATGCGGGCTTAAATTGGTCTTTTTAGCACAAATCTGTCAAAAATTGCTAAGCAACAATTGATTGCTCATTTACACTAATCAATTAATTATTCAAACACGCTTCGACATTCAACGTTTTTCTTAAGTTGGAAAAATAATATTTTATCAAATCATTACCTGACCGACTTCAAATTCTTCTAAACTTTCGTTTGAATAAAGGTTTTCCGCTTCTTTAATTTACATTTTGAAAAACGGATGATCAAATAATCAACGTGGTATCCATAACAACATCAAAATAATAGCCAGCTATGTATTGAAATTCGCATCGGCACAATTCACACAGTCTTGCCGAAAATACTCAATATTTCGTTAAAAATAGTTTAGAAAATAAAATAGAATAAAACGTTGTATGTACCACGTGCATAATTGTCGATTGTGGCACTCGGGAAATTAAAAGCCCTCCTTCGTCGGGCTTTAAACATTCCCTCGTGCCACAATCTCCCTGATTATGCCCTTAATACATAAATAACTATTATGAATGCATACAAAATTAACAAAAACATAAGATATTCATAGCAAAAAAGTAGCTAAACAAATTAAAAGTTTTGAAAAAATTAACAAAAAAACTTAAAATAAACATTCTTTCATCAAAAAACTTAATTACTAAACATTATTAATTGATTGAATAATAATTAATGCTTTTTTGGCTTTAGAAGGGCGGATTCCTTCCGGATTCCCTGCCGAACTGGGGCTAAATGAAGCAGATGACACGTCTTTTGAGTGGGAGTGTAATGCCCACTTTACTGTGAACTAATGCACATTTTAGTAATTTACGGAACAGTTGAAATGCTCGTTTATTTTTTCTCAAATACAAATTGATTTATTAAAGAAACAGTTATTTTAACGAATGAACTAATTTAATTAAATAATTCTAAATTGCATTATTTATTGCGCAAATAGAAAAAATAATCTGCCATTATTTTATTTATTGCCCTTTCAGTTTTACAAATGCTGAAATAGTTTCTTCTGTGCTGAAATGTTTTTAATAATGCTGTGACTTATTTCACATTTCATTAAAACTAATGCGCATTTACATTGTTCTCTTATGAAATCACCTAGATTTCACCTAGATGGCTAGTGGAATTTGTACAGAATGTGCGTAAGTTTCGAGAGGAAACAGAAATATAGTTTTTCGTGTGCTCATTAGAAAAGCATATTTTTGTTTTATCGAAAAGAAGAAAAAAAGTGGCAATTTTCCAGTTAGCAACACTTTTCCAGTGCAACTACATTATCGTTTTTTGCTGTTCTCACCGACAGGCATGACAACAATTAAACACGGCATCCGCTCCCTACCGCCCGCGCCTGTGCCGCTTGACATTAACCGCGACGTTCCACCCAGCATCTGCCGCCCCGAGCTTATATACATATAGATTGTGTGTACGTGCTGATAACACAGTAGAACAGTGTTTTTGTTACATATATTTTCTAAACATGGTCGGAAAGGTAATTTTGTGCTGAACAACTCTTAAAAGAGATAACATCCCCATGTCGTCAAAAAAAACAATTATTCAAATTTTTATTGTCGTCCGGTGAACAATTGGGAAAAATGAAGCGAAATCTAATTTTACATAGAAAAACGCGCAAGAAGCACTAAAAAAATGTTCCACAGATTTCTATCGACAGATATTTAATTATGTCTACGAATATTTAACCTGCCTAGAATATGTCGAAGAATCTAACTCTTTATGAAAGCCTCTGTATTCGGAAAGAATGGATACTTGGGTCTTTCTCTTAAATCTTTCTTGGATTTTCTTGATTTCTCGATGAAAAGATTATCAGCAAAGAAATTTAAATGAGACATAATTTGTGGAACGTTTGTTTCCTAAAAAATCACTGATCACTAAGCTAATTGATTCCCAAGTAAATTTTTCCATATCATTCAAATAGGCGTAGAACATTTGATCCTCATTCGAATTTTAAGCCCAATGAAAATTCCTAAATATAGAAAACGTACATAATATAAAAACTGAAATTCACTGTAATCTTTTAGTTTTTACCTTGGTTTATGTTGGCAGCAGAAGGCTTAGGAAATATTGTTTTCAGATGTTGAAATGCTTTCTCTCTTGTATTTCACTTGCATAAGAAGCACATATGATTGGTATATCCAGATTGGAGGCCAGTTACTAAAGCTACAATTTTTAAATCGCCTATCAAATTGCACTCCAATTTTTTATCGTTAATACAGTTTAACAAGTGTTGAATATTCTCATATGTTTCTGCAGTTTGTATCGAGTATGTAGTCGGCAGTACTAGATGATATTTATTCCCATTATGCAATAGTACACCTTTTTAATAATAATAATAATAATAGCATTTATTGCCCAACAGTATACACCATTTATAGGACAATAGATTGTATAATACCTACATAGTATAATGCAATTAACAAAATAAGAATTAATTAATTATATAATTGTGAAACAACTTAATTATGAGTGAAACACAAATATACAAAAGAATCTACAGTTTATATGCAATATGAACTTTAACTGGAACTATCTATGAACAATCTCCAAAAAAATTTTTTTTTGACGACCTAGGCATAATGTCTTATTAGATAGTTATTCAGCACATAATAACCTTTCAGAATGCTTGTAACAAGAATTTTTTCTAAAATTGTTCGACTGTATAATTATTATTGTTGTACGGGCAGTGTAATCAATATAGCTTTATTTTATCACTAGTAGTTTCTTCGAAATCCTGGACTACACTGTCTCCGACCGACTACCCGCGGACCGCAGAAACACCGGTTGCAATTGAAGTTTCGCTGTGTTAATTACCCTGAAATTTAAAATAATTTAAATTATAAAAATAATTCAAAAGGAAAAATGTCGAATCAATACTAAATATGTTCATTTTTATTTACAATTTTTCATATTCGTATTCGATATTTCATGTGCTTTATAAAATTTTTGCTACTGGGCTTTGAACTGATCTTTATTTGTGTTGTGTACTATTTTTATCAATGCTTAAAATCCGCTACATTCGTTCGTCATGTGAATGACATACTAGTACATAATATCGTACTGCAATCTCAAGATTACCATGTTTCAGGACTTCACATCGGTTACAAATTTTAACGTCTACAACCAAGTCTGTCATTAGCAAATATACATTTTGAAATTAATATTATTCAATGTTGTAACTTATTTTAATTTAGTTTGCAGTTTCGTTGTACACAAGCGATGCCATGAATACGTAACATTTACCTGTCCTGGTGCTGACAAAGGTGCTGATTCTGATGTAAGTATTGAAATATTGGTGAATAAAAAAGATTAATACTTTTTTTTTATTTATAAGGATACTCGAACTCGTCATAATTTTAAAATTCATACATACTCATCACCTACCTTCTGTGACCATTGTGGATCATTACTATATGGTGTAATTCATCAGGGGATGAAATGTACAGGTAATGCTTCTTTCACAAAAATAAATTATAATGCTAAGAATGTATAATTATATAACTGTTTACTAAAGAAGAAAGTAGCTATAAATCATTAGCAATTTTGTTGCATGTATTGGACATATTTTTTGCATGAATCTTCCCATTGTCAGTAGGTACCAATTAGTAGTGATGTTGTGTGCTCAATAAAGCTTTTCTATGTTGCAGTTGTGAGAAAATCAGATACTGTTTATAATTTCAAGTTTTTTGTTTCTTTTGACACATTTTTATGGAATTAGTGCAAATATAATTACAATAATTTCATAACACAAATAGTGACAGTAAACCGTAATCGGAAAATTTCTTATTGTACGATTATTATTTATAAAAATATTCATTGTTGTGCATATTGAAATGTAAAAGAATTACTCCCCTATAAAACCTCAAAACAGTCGTGGGTAAAGTGTACAATTCGCCCTGAGTATTAATTTCTCACTTGTGTGACTTGTGATATTTGCTTTCGACTAATACTCCAAATTTTCATATCTGCGAAAAATGAGTACGATTTTATATAGTACGAAACAGGAATGAGTATTAGTTATTCAATTCGTTAAAGTGGTGGCCGATGATACCGTTAATTTTTATCTTTTTTGAGTTTTTTTTTTTTTCATGAAAACTTGAGCAGTGTGATTGAAAAAAAATGTATATCTTGTGCTGTGAAAATTATGACTTCGGCGATTTTTTTTAGCAATAAAACTTTTTAAGACAACCGTATTTGATAGAGAATAATTTTAATTCATTGAACCAGCAAATGCTAAAAAAAGAAATCAAACCACTACAGCGTGTTAATAAATGATTTACGTCTAGAGGGTCGTGGACACAACTTGATAAAAAAAATTCCGCTTTCGAAAAATACACTTGTATTAAAAAAAAAAAAAATAGAAGAAAGTTGAAATTTAATAATATTAGTAGAATAATCTTTCACAAATACAATATTTTAACATGTTTTAAGTTAATCATAGCCATCATCTTTTTTTGTTTTTGTTTTTATATCATAGGGTATTGTAATGATCGTCGCACTTCTTAAATTCCAAATAACACTATATCGCATTCATTGTATATTCACATAATTGCATGGACTACTTATATTATAGGCAGATTCCCCAAGCTATACTACTCCCCTCTAATTATTATTAGTTACCTACTTCTACCAACAATATGACTACTACTATTTCCTAATTAGAGCAAATACCTTACTTATTCCACTATACCTCCCTCGGAAAAAATCCCAATTTTTTTTCTCTCTCTTTTTATACGTGATTACTGATAATATAACTTAACTCTATTCTTATGTACTTCCGCTAATTCATTATTATCTATCGTAATTACAATGTTTTTTTCCTTATCTTCTCTTACTTTGTAAGGACCCTTAAACAATGTTTCTAACTTACTTCCTACGTTATTTTTTAACAAAACCTTATCACCAACTTTATATTTAACGCCGTTACTTTTTTTATCATAATTAATTTTTCGCTTATTCTTTGAGAATATCAAATTTTTACGAGCATCTTCACACGCGCAGTGTAGTCTGTATTTCATCTCTAAAGAATAATTGTCAAAGTTGTATAAAGGATCTACGCTACCCCACAAGTTTGAAGCCAATCTCGAATTTTTCCCAAAAAACTAACTCATACCGAGTATATTGAGTCTCAGTATGTACCGTGTTATTATGTGAAAAACACCAAATATGCACTCCAAATATCTGAATGTTTTGCCACTCGTATCTGCAGATAACCTCCCAAATATTTGTGTGAATTTTCAAAAGATCCTAGCGTCTCGTGATGATAAGCCGTTGAGTTATAGGTGTTTTATCTGCAATAATTTACATGTTTGGGTAAATACGGAAGGCAAAAATGCAGTGCCCCGATCGGTCGCAATAACTTCCGGAAGTCCATAACGTAAAATAAAGTTATCTACAAAAGAGTTTGCTACTGTGGTTGCTTCCTCATTTTGCAACGAATAACCTCGACGAATTTACTAGGTTCACATTGTGTAGTTAAAATGTAGTAATTTTCTTCGGAATCTTGTACTAAAGGACCCACTAGACCTAAAAAATGTTTTTTAAAAGCAGATGATGCCGTAGATGTTATTGACGTACGCTCTAGATTCGGTTTAGATTGTTTATACCTTTGACAGTCATCACACTTTTCGCACAAACTTTTCTACATTGCTGTGAAAATCTGTCCACCAATAATGTTTTTATTTCCCGAGCGTAAGCGAAGCAAGTATTGCAATCGAGTCCGTCGGCCGACTCTCTACTTTTACGTTTTCTCGACCTTTTATGACCCCTAGAGTACGAAGAAATAGGTCTCCCGTTTTCGTCTGTTTGTCTATCCGTCTGTCCGTCTGTCTGCCGTCCCGGATTTTTATTAGACAGATAATCTCCCAAAGTACTGGGCCGACTGTTGTCAAATTTTGTATTTATACTAGGTATATCATGTAGATGGTAAAACGCTAACCAAAATCCCCCCTAATGTGATGACGTCACTTCAAAATTGTGCATACTAAATGGCTTTTAAATTGTATCAAATAACGTAGTCTTACACATGTAGTTAATGACTCCGATTTGATATTTTACCCGAAACCTCCAGATTTTTGGAAAAAAAATCAAAATTAGGAAACAACATTTTGACATTTAATTTGGAATCTGCAAAGCCAAATGCTTTGAACTCTTGCATATGGTTTACAGTTATGATAAGCATGATAAGTTTTTACTCAAAATATATTTACTTGTCCCCTCCAAAAAATTGATGACGTCACCTCAAAAGTTTGACGAATAAATCCTATCTAAAATGCAGAAAATATGACCTGTGAGATGCGTGTGTCTGAAAAACACATTAAATTAAAATTACTCCCAAGAACTGTTTAACTATAATTATTATGAAATAATAAATAACAAATAAAGCAACAACAAAAAACCGAAAATTTTGTCGTGATACAAAGGTAACCGCTGTAAGGAGTTTTTGTTTAACAAGTAAAGAAAATGTAACAAAAATTAAAAAAATTATGTCTTATTAAACACAACAAACAAGACTATAACTTATCCAAAAGAATAACAATAAAAATGAATGAGTTAGTTGAAAATATCAAAGAACTGAGAAGAACTTATAATTACAGAAAGTGCTCGAAGTGCGCGCTATTAGCTCTTATTATGCAAGCATTAACACGGCGTAACAAAGATGAATTAACCCTTGCTAATTGTTCTGGATTAGCAAGGGTTAATTCTGCCGTACGTGTTCAGCAACCGCAAGAATTCTGATCATTAGAGCTACTTCATTTTCCACAGGGGTCATAATATAGACTAACTCCTTTATATAACCCCACAAGTAATATTGGCAACTATGCAAGTTTGGAGAACGAGAAGGCCACCTAGTTGGTCCTCCTCGTCCAATCCAACGAAATCCGTATGAGACCTTTAACAAATTTCTAGCATCCCTTGTGAAGTGAACAGGACCACGATCCTGCATGAACCACATGCCCTGTCGTAACTGTAAAGGAATATCTTGTAAAAGAGCAGGCAAATGAATGTTTGAAAACTTCAAATAAGCCTCTCCTGTCAATCTATGGGGCAAAATAGATAACCCCACTAGACGTGTTCCGATGATCCCGACAACGGCCGTGTATAACAGGTCTGCGAACTCCCAGTTTAAAATGGTCTTTTTTCGAAGAGATCCCAGGAGGCCACGGGAACTTAAAGTTCCTAGCGCCGTCTACTGGACGCTATGATGAAACTATTCACAAAGGTCGAGCAATAATGAATGAAATTTGCGTAAAAATGTGCTTGAATGCAAGTTGTCAAAAATGTCAGCTTTATAGGTTAAGTTTTGTGACGTCTTTTTGAAAGATGAGGAGGAATATACGTCAAATGTCATGTCAAACATCAGTTGATAGTGCAAATAGTACAATTAACTACCACATGGTGGCGGTCATCTTAAGCTCCCACTAGAGTCCCTGTAGAGGGACTCTAGCTCCCACTAATGTGACTCGATCTTGAAATGTGTGGCAATTAGTAACTTTTATGAAATAGAAATATATCTGTGTCCTTGTTATGCTCCGTCTTTTCGACAGCAGGTATTTTTTGCTTCCAGGATGGCGATCCTGTTACTGTCATTTGGTCATCAATTGCCTTGGTGGTAACACCAGAGATTTCTTAGTAACCTAGATACGGCTATGGGCAGCAAAGTGTGAAACAACATGTATGAAAATAGTGTCGACATACTTTCAGTTCTCTGTCTTTCTCTTACTCGTTGTAATGTGCACTACATACTAGTGTTATCTTCGTCTAATTCTAGCGACTGTTAACATTGGTTGATAATTTGTCGCACTGATTTAAAATGGTATAAAAGAGAATCATAACTCGAGTTTTTTAACAAGTGGCAAACGAAAAGTTTCTAAGCAATCTCCAAAATGATTTGTAATGTTAAGATTAAAATATTACACGGACAAGATCGTTGGAATAAATTTGACTGTCGACTTCCCTTTTTTCGTACTTTTTCTTTATCATTCACACCGGCGAAACTCTTGAAAAATGACATAATACAATTTTCTTATAGTCAAAAGTTTTTGTTGCCACGAACGTTTCTAACATAAATAGAGAATCGTATTGTATTTATTTGCATACACAATGTTGAGAGCTTAAAACGAAAAAGAAAAAAGACGTACAGCTGTGGTATAAATTTATTAACATTATTATTAAATATTGGTGATTTAATGTAATCTTAGTTACTCATTATTAAATAAAATGTATTTTATTAATTTACTTCTTATTCTCGCCTGTTTTGAAGCAAAATTTACCAGTTTTGCTTCGTGATGCAAGCGGACTTTTAAATACATTTGCGCTATTGCCTTCATCAATTGTATTTTGTTGTTATCTAGTAATCCCTGAGAAATGCAATGATTGTTCATGTCGGGATTATTAAAAATCTTTGTAATATTTTTGCGAAACAAAATAATTATTAGATCTTTCT